GGATCTATAACACAGGATATTAATAATGGATAAATTATTTAAACAACAAAAACTTGGATAGCAAATGGTTTATTACTTGATATTTGTTATCAACAAGTATTTGCTCAACAGTATTTAAATCATTTCCAAGATCTTCTTGTTTGCCAGGTAAAAGTATGTGCTCTTTTAATTCTCCGGTAAACAATTTTCTTTCTTCATCAGTCATGTCTCGCTAAATTTTTATTTTTTTTATAGTAAATTAATTATTGTTATTTAATTAAATTAATTTTAATACTAACCAGTGCTGTTTGGTTTCCCTCAGCATCAACCACCATAGCCAATTCCATTTCAGAATCTGTACCTGGCATTTGAATGTCTTCTTGAATTTCTTGTATGGTTACAGGGCTAGATGCTAGCCGTGGTTGATTAACAACAATGGTATCATTCAAATGTCCTGCTTGAGTCATATGATTATAAAGTAATGGTTTACGCATGAATCCAGCACCACAAACTAAGCATTCATAGGGTTTTTTGTCACTATGTACAAAACGATGAGCATTTCTATTATCTCTACTGTTGAATGCTTTACCACAAACCTTAATTTGATAAATTAAATTAGAAAACATTAATAAAGTTTAATTGAATAGAAATATTTTTCACTCAAGTTTTAATTTCTTACTTCGCATAAATAAGGCTTTTCTCCTGTATGAATACGTGCATGTTTTTTAAAATGTTCTGGGTAAATAAAAGATGCTTGGCAAACTTCACATTTGAATGGTCTTTCTCCAGTATGGGCAGCCTTCATATGGTAATCTAATAAACGGCGTCTTTTAAATCCTTTACCACAATCTGTACATTTATAACGCTTATCGTCATAATGGGTAGCTCGTTTATGAGATTGCAAGTTGCTTCTTTGACTGTAAGCGTAAACATTAAAATTTGAAAATTATTTGATAAAAAATAATTCATAATTTAAAAATTATACCTGAATGTTGCTCCACAAAATTCACACTGATATGGTTTTTCACCAGTATGAATGCGCTCATGATCCCTAATCTCAGCTTTTCTAGCAAATGCTTTGCCACACATACGACAAATAAATGGTTTGTACCCTGTGTGTACAACATAATGCACTTCTAAATTGCGTGCAGTGCCAAAAGCTTTGCCTAAAATTAATGAAACAATATTACAATCATAATTATTAAAATTTATGAATAAAATAAAATAATATAATATGATCAGTATTCAGTATTAATACATCAATAAAATTTAATTCCTAAATCAATAAAAAAAAAATATATATGTAAATAAAAATGATAGTTAGATTACACATTAAGTAATCAATAGTATATAAGAAATGATTAAAATAGGTAATTATTATTTTTAGATTAGTTTTATTTAAGAACAAAAATATATATCATTAATTGTACACTTACCACATTTTTGGCATACATAATTTTTAAGCCCTGAATGTGTTCGTTCATGATGTATCAGATTTTGCTCAGTAAGAAAAGCTTTACCACAATTAATACAAGTAAAGTTTCTCTCACGATTGGTATGTACCTTTTCGTGGGCTTTAAATGTATACTTGGAAGTAAAATCTTTACCACAAATATCACAACGATATGGACGCACTCCTGTATGTGTATTATTATGTTCTTCCAATGTATTGCGAGATCTATAAAATAATTAATTTTTATAAAAATTGTTGGAAATAAATAAATATAATCAATAACTTTACTTACGCAAATTGTCGGCCACAAGTTTCACAAGTATGATTTTTAGATTGTGGCATATGCATTTTTTTATGTACCCTGAACATACGCACATTGGTAAATACTCGCGTACAAATGTCACAAACAAAGTTACCATCTTCACTATTTGCATGATGTTCTAGATGTTTCATCAGTTCAGGTCTAAAACAAAACATGCATCATTTAAAACAAATCTAAGAAAATATTAGATTAACTAAAAACAAACAAACATAATAAATTTAAACTTGTAAATTGTTAATTACAAAATTGTGTTATACAAACATTAGAGATGATATGTAGTTCAGTATAATTACTATTATTTCTAAATTACCTTTTAAGGAACTCTTGACCACATATATCGCAAATAAACAACTTAATCTGATGCACATTTTTTGCATGAACCACAATACCTCTAGCATCTGCAGTAAATTTATTATCAACACTGCACAACAGGCAAGTGTAAATTTCTCCATCATGATGAACCAACTATACAAAAGATATAAATAGTTATTTTCCAAATATTTCCATGAAAAAAAAAAAAATGTACATAAAAATATGTAACTTACCATTTGCGGTATGAGAATTTCAGGAGTTTTTTTCTTTAGGATATTCTTAGTCATTTTTGATTTTTTTGGACTACTAGACTCAGCACCATCATTTTTAGAATCATCATTTCCTTCATAATCTGAATCATCATCATCATCAAGTATTGCGCCATCATCTAGATCATCATCTTCATCAATATTATCTAATTCTGGGATTATAGCTTCCTGTTTAATATCGGCAGGTTGAATCAGTTTTTGAGAGCAGTCTTCTTCAATATCAAGGGACACATCATTATTATCCTTACAATCATCTTCTAACATCTCTATTAAATTATCTACTGATGAACACTTTTGCTGCTTTTCCATCTCTTTGATGTCAATATCATCTTGTAAAGCATCTTCGTTAGAAATAGGTACATCAATAGTTTCTTCCTTAATCTTAGGACGTCGTCCTCGTTTTTTGACTGGCTTAGGAGTGTCAATTTCATGTTCTGTATCAATACTGTCTATTGTATGTATATCTACACATTCAGATTTACTCCTAAAATTTAAAATTGTTTATTATAGAACGTAATATACTTAAAAATGATTTTATAAAACTTATTACTTGAGTGTACGTTGATACTGAGAGGTAAGCTCTAATTTAATGTCAGCTAACCGATCTTCAAGTTCATCCACTTCATTCAAAGATTTAAAACATCGACGGCATACAACAACGGAATGTACATCTTCAGAAGAAAGGACTATACCAAGGACACCGTCAATTACCTTAACTACAGTACGATCTGAAGATGATACACGGTGCTGAAATATAGAGATAGCATTTCGAGCAGACACTCCTGTGCTACCATCACAAATTAGACATGTATTTGATGTCGCTGTTGAGGACCTGTCATGTTCTAGATCAGTTGCCATAATAACTTGAAAAGTAGTCAAATTTCTAAAAAAAATTTAAGAAATTCAATTAGTTAAACTATACTATTCTAATCAGGATCATTAGAGATAAATTGCATTGAATTTAGGTACCTAAATAGTATCTATTTATTTATACTTTCATTAATATTAAATAGTTGAAAATCCTAAGATTTGACCAATGAGAATAAATTTTAATAATAGTTCGATGTATAATAATTAATACAAATTATAATTTGATTTAAAATATAAAATACATAAATAATAATTTATTTTCCGATTTCTGATAATTCAATAAAAAAAAAAAAATGCTTAAACTTGAAAAATTAAAACTAGAACCGAATTAAATAAATCGAGATAGTACACGATAGCACGAGACGAAAATTTTAAGAAATTATAATTTGTCCAAAAAATAATAATACAATATACTTTTGGAGGGAAAAAAATGGTCAAAACTCTTTAATCGCTAACAATAAAAGCCAAACAGAATTTTTTGATTATATCATTGGAAGAAATCGCACGAGATCGTTTATACACGACCGCACGATGAAGACGATGATGATAATAATAATAATAATGTTATTTTTTCACGGTTAATAATTTTAATAAAAAATGATGGATTGGGTGCCATCATAAATCGATCCGACACCTTACGCGTGTAAGCAATATAAACTACGAGGGAATATGAAATATTATCAAATAACGCGACCCAGGTTATTAGGACAGCATCGTTTACATTGACGACGTCACTACGTATTGTGATATAAAATATATTGCGTTCACATTTCTGGAAGCGACGACGACGAAAGAATAGCAATAAAAAAAAAAAAGCAAAAAACAACCCTCAGACGTATTACGATTTTTCGAAAAGACGCCGTCTCGAATAGACTTCACATCGTACGCTGAGCACGTAACGTCGTCACCGACCTCCGAACGACTTGCCGCCGTCAACGGACAACGGGCACCCCGAGTCGTCGGCGGGAAATGGAAAATGATTAATCACGAGTGCGGGGACATGCCGTGGGGAAAACAAACGGGAAAATCGGAAAATCGTCGGGAATCGTAGACGTCGCGTTCGTCGTCCGAAAATTATCGGCCGGAATCACGACGGCCGCCCCGGGAAAGCTCAGCGCCGATGGCGCGGATGGCGCGGTCGGGCGACACCGAACGCGTTGCGAAATTCGCATTCAGTGATCTACGGGCGCAACGAAACGTTATTGGCGGCACGGGCGAGTAAAAATAACGTCCGTCCGTGTCTGCCGAAAAATGGACAACCTGTAACGGTCGTAACCAAAGTTGCCAATATGAAAAAACATTTGCCCGTACAGCATTGTCGTCCCAGTGTTGGCCGACGGTCCCCATACCAACCAAAAAAATAACGCCGGTGACCGGAAAACGGCAGATGCGGTAGCGAACAGGTTGTACTCACCACCACTGTACTGGTACGTCGTGCTCGGTGCTTTGGTGTTTCTCGCGTTCTACGAACGGCTTGCAAAGCTCACTGTGCGTAATGTCCCGACGAAAAAACCGACTGCAGAATCGTCGTGAACGTACGGCGGTCGGCCATTTTAGGTTTCGGTTTTATGTGGCAGGCGGCGTACTGGTAGCGCCCGTTCTCCCCTCCCCCGTCATAGTGTCTGGCCGGCGCTTGTGCGTGCGCGCGACGTGTCCGACCAACGTTAGCGGTACGCGGCGTAAACAACAACAACGACAACAACAACAATAATAACATCGGCGACTCGCGCGCGGCATCATGATATTATTATATTTTCGGGCAGGCTGATAACGGCGGGTTCCCCCGGGCCCATAGATAGCCGCTGTGATAACGGCCCGCGCCCGTCGTGGTTACCGGTGTTACTGTTCCATGAAATGCGAGGAAATTTGTTTGCACGTTCGTAATTCGCCGCCGTCCGGGTTCGGGATCCGATCTGACTTCCGTGTCGATATTCCGAGTTTTGCGACAGTCCCGACCTTTCGTCGCCGATCCGTCGCAACACGCAACGGTCCGAGTGTCTTTGAATACCGGACGAAGTCAATGTGCACCCGGGCTATGCAGTCAATCCGTCACATCGCATGCAAGTAAGTCGAAACCGGCGCCAGACATCGTTTCGGGTGGGCTGATCGCGTGCTTTTTTTCGAATTCGATCGTCAAGTCTTCTGGCTCGACCCGCCTAAATTTTATAGCCGCTTGTGTTCCCAGATATACATTCATATCCACAATAATTAGTCTCTCCATATATTTGTTAGTGTTCAAAGCAGGCTATATATATATACTTGTATATAGACCACTTCATTATGTTTTTGGCATGCGCGATATTAATCACTCTAAATAAGTCATAAAAAACCAAACCGTGATTACCACCAACATAGAATCCCACAATTAACTCTATTATAGAAATTTTTTTTACAAACTTAAGAATTATTGAGAACTGTATACCCAATATGTGGTTCAATAAGAACTCAAAATCAAAAATTTTATCTTAGACTAAATCTATTAATGTTGTTTAATTATTTTACATTTTTTTTTTTTTTTTACAGATTTTTTATTCAGTCAAATTGACAATATGTCAAACACAGTAAAGTATGTGGTAAAAAACTCTTGTACTAACTCTCAAGTTAATCGTTTGCCAACCAGAAAACATATTGTAAATAATGGCTATGGAAAACCAGAAGTGAAGGATTTTATTAATAAAAAACAGAAACCAATGAGAAAAATTATTAGAATGAGCGATTTAAAAGAAAACAATACTGAAATCATTACTGTTTCTCCTGAGTTTTTAGATGATAGTTCATCAGAGATAAAAGATGATTGTATGTCAGATTCAAGTTATGATGATTTGGAAGAAAATTGTGAATACCAAGATGATCCAGAGGTTATTGTTGTCTGTGGTGATGATTTAGATCAATCTAGTGATAGCGATTTAGAATACATAGAAGACATAAAACATGAAGAACCTAGTAAAAGTAAAAGTAAATTGCATAATGATGTCAATTCTTCTGATGTTGTTGTGAGAACTGATATTTTAAATGATTTATTAGAAGGACGTATGACTAAAACTACTAAAAAGCTTCTTGATTCTACCAAGATTTCTTATTTACCTATGCAACTAACTCCAAATGAATTTCGTTCTACATATACTAATGAAAAGAGCCCATTTAAAGTTCGACCTATTAAAGCTAACAAAGGTTTGAGGCATTTCTCCAAAAGAGTATGTGATAAGGTTAAGACTAAAATGGTTACCACTTATAAAGAAGTAGCCGATGAATTAGTTGCTGAATGTGTTGGCAATAGTGATAGCCCAACTTTTTTATATGATCAAAAAAATATTAGGCGCCGTGTGTATGATGCCTTGAATGTATTAATGGCCTTAGATATAATTGCAAAGAATAAAAAAGATATAACTTGGAAAGGGTTACCAACTGGATCCATACAAAACAGTGTATATCTTGTTCAAGAAAAAGAAAACCGCCTTAATAGTGTAAAAAGAAAACTTTTAGCTCTTCAAGAAATCATTATGCAAGAAGTAGCTATAAAACGTTTAGTAAAACGTAATCAAGATGTAGAAAATGAATTTGGTCCTCCACCTCATAACACATTTGTCAATTTACCTTTTATGGCTATTAGTGCAAATGAAGATACATCTGTTGAAATAGAAATATCAGAAGATCAAAAACAATATGAAATGAGTTTCAATGATAAATTCAGTATGGTTGATGACACTGAAATTTTAAAAACTATGGGTTTCACTTTAGGATTGGATCGTGGTGAAGTAAGTAATGAAAATTTAAAGATTTTGAAAACATTAGTACCCAAAGCTTTTGAGAAACACATTGTTATGATGGCTACTAAAAATGGAGAAATGTTTAATGATATCTGTAAGGAATTCGATGAAAAAATTAAGTCTGCTGAAATTGAACAAACTTCATCAAGGCCCAATATTATTAATAGAAGGAAGAATAAGAGATAAATAAAAATTGTTAGCAATGTTTTTTTTTAATATTTTGTTATTATCATGACAATCATCAAAATGACTATGTTAAATATGTATACTTTTTTGTAAATAATTGAATGTTGATTAGTTTTAACTTGTATAGATTTAACTATTTTATAAATAATATAAATATATATTTACATATATTCATCATTAAATTACAATAATAAATTTGTTTTAACTCATTTTCATTATAATTGATAGTTTTTTATAATCTGTTGTTATTATTTTAACTTTAAGCCAAATTACTATTTTTTTCCTTATTAATGAATAACGTTTGATTTATTATAAGGTTATAATTTTATAATTTGTGACTTATTAAGTTAAAATAAGTTTATAAATAAAAATTTGAAACAATAAAATCAAAATACATTAAATTTTAAGTGTTAAAATCATGGTATTGTGTTATAGTGTTAACAAATATATCCATAATTTTTTTGTCAACATTTTAAATTCAAATTTGGTTTAAATTAGTTATCCAAACAAAGAATGATAGTTTTAGTTATTTATTTTATGGTAATTCAAAATTATTTTCAGTGGGGATTTGAAAAATGAAAGTTATATATATATATATATAAAACATTTAGATTGGGGAGCCCCTTGGCAGTTATATTTTAAAGGCCTAATATCAGGTGTTAAATTATGTTTACAAAAAAAATATGAAGCATTTTGGGTCCTCTTCCAAAAACATGTCCTAGACTCGCTGCTGATTTAGTATAATTACCTATTTTCACCACAAACTTATTCATACCATTATACAAAAAGTTAGAGTATTGACTCAAAATTCAATAATATAATTATGTACTAAAATACATTTCTGTAATAATAATATAAACATATTGTAAGATACTCTTATTATAGGCTGATACCTTGTTTGCTCAGAATCATTTTTAACACACAATAATTTATGAATGAATTTAAATGTAACACACATTACAATTATTCAATCAATGATGACATATACTCAACAGAGCTGTCATCTACTTGGGGCAATAGATTTTATAAAACTATAACCATAATGATTGAATTTCTTATATATACAATCATACAAAAATGTATAGTTATACTTGTTACATTTTGATAGGTATTTTATCATAAAATTAATCAAATGGTATTTGTTTTTCAAACTAAAATAACATTATCTTCAAAAACAATATTTAATAAACAGTAGATAAACCATTTTCTAATATGAATAACAATAATCAATGAGCAATGCCATATTCATTAAATTCAAATACATAATTCAACTATTTGTTTTTTAATGATAACTAACAGCAATTATAAAAAAAAATCATAATAAAATAATTTAACTAAACTTTATGCCTTTTTCTTCTTTGATTTGTCTTTGTATGTCTAATGCTCGTTCTTTATATTTTTGAGCAAGATTCAAATCCTTGGGTACACCATCTCCTTTTTTAAATATAATTGATGCATTAACACAACCTTTTAATTCGTTTTGATCACAAGCTTTTATTGAATATTCTAAGACTTTAGGCATATTAGGCGCCAATCCAATTTCTTCAATGCCAGCAAAATGAATATTACTGGCTACATAACATGCTTCTGAATGTTTGTTGTTACATGCTTTTTCTAAGTATTGCAGACTCTAAAAAAGATAGGTTTTATTATTTATAAAATTGTATTTCAATTAAGTATTGCCAAAAAAACTTGCCTCAAGTAAACTTTTTGATCTTTCGTCGACGTCAGTAATTGAGTCACTGTGATAACGGAGTTTCATTCCTGCAGCAAAACATCCATCAGACCAGTTATATTCACAGCCTTTCTTAAAATATCGTATCATCTATAAAAATAAAAAGTTATATTTTCATAGTTATAATGTTCAATAACAAATAAAACATCAAGAAAATTTTTATTGAATAGTTATATAATATTATTCACTAAAATAAGTATTCTCAATACCTCAGGAAGTACTGGTTTGAGATTTTTCAAGTTATTTTTTTCCATGTAGGAAGCATACTTGTAACAACTACGACCAAAATTCCGTTCATCACAATTTTCTTTAAATATTTTGGCTGCTTTATCCGGATTGTTTTCTATAGTCTCTAAATAATCACCAAGTAACTGGCATACTACAAATCATTCAATAAAACAAACCTTAATACTGCAAATATTAAAAAAATAAGAACAAAATGCCAATTTTTAAATTTACTTTGTGCATCTTTTTCACTGAAACAGCCAAATCTATACTCAATTCCTAAGTTTTTAATATATTCCTTAACATCTTCTTCTTTCTTGAAATCATAAGACATTTTTGTGATAAGTTTATTGGTTACGATCTATCTATTAAAATTAACTTAATAAAATAATTGATTAAAATGTCTTAACTTAAAATACTTTGAAAAATAAGTCAATTTTAAAATGTCTATTAATAATTAATATTTAATTTATAGTCATTTTAATTATTCAGCTGTTATCATTTTAATATTATTATCATTTTGATAGCATCATGCACAACAATAAATCTGTGTTGTTGCTTACTGGTTGGATCTATCTTAAGACTGTGATACTCAATACTCATTGATAATAAACCTTTGCAAACACCCTTGTCAGTAGGTGTCACAACTCGCGGTTTACGAATAAACCTATTATTTTTTATAGTAAAGTATAGTATACACTACTATACTAAATTGTATAGAAGTATAGTCACTATTCATTATATAGTCATTAGTCAGTATTCTCTGTGGACTATAGAGTAATGATGTAAATTGCGATTTTTTATGAGTAGCAGTCTCAAGTCTCAACTATGATTGCTACTTTATGTGCACCTATCACATAATATACTTTAGTAGCAACTAACAATCACAGTTGTGAGTTATGACTGCTACTTCTAAAAATCGCAATTTAGGATCGGAATAATTTAGGTAATTAACTAAAATTTATCTCCTAGACCGTATGGTCTACCAATGAATGTGGTTTACCGTGGTAAAAATCATAGTTTGGTACGTGACCTACCTACGTTTAAAAAAAAAAGATACAAATAATTGATCAGAAAACTTTTTTTATTTTTTCTCGATCTATGATACAGTTTTTCTTCATTGTCACATGTATGGCACCGCGTTATACAAGGTAGCTGACCATAATCTTGTAAGTATTCGACTGTAGATTCTTCAGTCAAAAGAGTAATATAAAATTTTATTCTTCTGCGAGTATTTTAAAAAGTTACCCATCAATTAAAATCTACAATGTTATTTATTTCTATACACCAAAAATAACACTAAACCATCTAAACTACTTTAATGGTGGAAGAGAACAGTAAACTCTCGCCTCGACACGGCTCGCTTGACGCTTATGATTAGTGGCGTAGATCGAGTAGATTACATTTAATTAGTTTAATTGATAGTTTTATCGGCATGAAGACATTGGGAATTACAAAGATAAAATGTATAAATGGTATAAAATACCAATACTAGAATTTTATCTATGGTAAGACATAATACATTAGTAAACTACAATACTATTTATTATGCTGATATTTATAACTTCAAGCTTGGTAGAACACAAAACGACGGTAGACCGCATATTGCGGAATAGTCCGACCTTTGAAAAAGTTGAACAGAACATAATAAAAGTATTAAGAGTTAAATCAGTTCATTAGGTCGGTTTATAAACCGTGAATTGTCAACTTAAAATTTAAATCATTGAAAATTTTAAATTTTAAATAATAAATATTATTATTTATTTGCCAAAAACTGATAATCGCGATGATCGTTTTGATGAGTTATACCAACTTTTAAATATAATATTGTAGTTGTTTTAAATCGTAGTTGGTATGAACTCCTGAAACGTTTATCACTATAATTCGTTAGGTCGCCCGTGCCATAATTGATATTTGATATATCACAGATAAATACAATACATATATTTATCTGTGGATATTAGTATATTACACAGTTTTTCAATATTACCATTTGGCATTTTCCAAAAAATGCTTACTTACAGTGTGTAGTACGAGTTACAACTTTACAAAAATTTTAATGCTTTTAAATTTAATATTTATCAGATTAATTCAAATACAATGACATATTTTTGTGTGTTTATTAATTGATTTCAATTGCTTATTATGAAAAATGCTTTATATTTCACTGGTTGACAATAAACAATCATTACAGATTTGAGATTTTTTTTTTTATATCTATTACGTTTAAATATTACATACTCATGAGTAACAATATCAGTCAATTTAACGTCAAAGAGTGAAAACCATTGTGCATACCTATTTTTTGACCAGAAGTAAACTTAACTAGCAAAGTAAGTAAAACTAATTATATTTTTTTTCAAAGTTTAATCAAGTGAAATGCAATACGTTTTTCAACGTTTTAGACATTGAATAGCTTGGTAAATACACTGTTAAATTAATTTAAGATATTGAGAACCTCAAATAACAATTGGTTAAACTACCAAAAAAAATTAAACCATTCAGTTTCACAGTAAATTAAAAATAAATATGATACCTAGTTGAAATAGTAGCATATGAGCTATATAAAACATACACAATTTAAATTGTATTTGAAAAAAAAATTATTGTAACTATTTCACCCTAGGTATTTAATATGTGTCCTAACACATTAAGATACTTATTGTCAAGTTATACGTAAATTAAGTAGTTCAGCAACAGATGTTGACTTTATTCTGTAGATCTAAAATTACATATCTTAATATTATGAAATTTTATATTTTGTATATTAATATAAAATCTAAATAATTTATCTCAATTTATGTTCTATAAAAAACAAAATACAATATATTGAAGCTATATGATGGATGTATATAATTATGCATTATTAGCAACATTAGTTAAAGTCACATAATAATCAATAAATTGTTATTCATATTACATATTGAAAATTTTTTATAAATTTAATAAAATAATAAACTGGTTATTTTTATTATATACTCATACAGTAAAATTTTTCTTAACAAACACCTTTAAAAAGTAGATACTGCCAAGTAATGGACATATTTACGGGATCAGAGATATATTTATTAATAACATATAGAAAAACTTATACCTATGGTACTTTAACTTTTGATTATTTAAATCGTAAATTTAGAATAAAAGTGGCAGCAATGTAAGGTATATGCAGATATATTTTTTCTATCAATTTACAGAATTATACTTCATTATTCTCCAGCATAGTCAAATTAAAAAATGTCTTGACATACAAAATTGTTTTGTGTTAAAGTCTTAAACAAAATACAATTACTGATTTTTTTCATAGTTTTAAATTTTGACCTTAAAATATTTATTTTTTTTTTTACTTTTTATAAAATTTTCAATAATAAATATATTTATGCATACATAAATAATATTAAATAACAATACTTGCACAAAATTATATAATTTATAACATACTATGTTGTAAACATATTACATAGAATGATTCTAATTTAAATCTATTCTATAAAGAGTTTTATATTATTTGTTTATACATTTTTATTAAAATAGGTAAAGTTATTTCATATTTTTACTTGGTATGCAAATTTTCTTCATAACTATGGTCAATTATGTGAAATTATATACAAATGAAAATTGTATTAAACAATTTCTTTTTAAAGTTATGATTTTTTTTAAATTCTGTGTAACATAGGTGATAACTTAAAAATTAGATGCAGCTATTTTTATTCTTTGTTCGATTCATGATAAATTATATTGTATTATTTCCTGCTTTATTATAAATATATTTTGGAATAAAACTTGACAAAGATAAATATAATTATTGGTATTTTACTAATGATGAGTATAAAAAATAAAAATGTTTTTCTTAAATCAAAAAAGTACTTGGTTACTTTGTTTTTTTTTTTTTAATTATTTTTATCAAGATTTTTGGAAATGATCAGTTAATAATTGGTATTAAAGAAGTTTTGGAGATCAACTTTATGTAAGGTAAGTAAACGGTTAATTCATACTATCTGATACACATAGGGTATATCTAGTTTATTACATTTTGACTCTGGTTAATTTTAATATGTCTTTGAACAATATGAATATATGTACTAAAATTACTTGTTGTACTTACCTGTTTAAATTTATTAAAATTAAAAAAAAAAAAACTTATGGGTTCTTTTGTATTTAAATAACTATAGTGAAATATCATGCTTATTACAATTAAATTTATCAATCTCTAGAATAGTGTTAAATTTAAATTTTTTGAATAATATCATATTAATTTATTTTTTTTGTATTTCATAGGGAATGGTGTTGTTATTTTAATAAAACACTTTATAAATTTAAATGTATGATGTATGTATTTAAAATTTTAATTATTTATCCATTAAAAACAAATTATCAATATATTATAAAAATATTATTGGATAATATGTTAACTTTAGGCTTACTGTTTTTCCACATTCTGATATCCTGCAACTTCATTATAGATATTATTATTATCATCATTATAAATTTTAAAATATTTTCTATTTTTCTAAACTATAATTCTAACCAACTCAAGTCTTTAAACTAATCAAGATTTTTTTATATTATCAATAATTATAAGTTCTATAATCAATGATATTATTTATTGGTTAAAAATATTTTTAATCTATTTTGAATCTATTTTTATTTATTGAGAAAAATTGATATAAGTATAAATATAATTAACATGAATTTTTTTTTTTTTTTACTATTAAAGTATAGCTTTTGAATGATTAAGTTTTAGTTGATGTTGAATATAGCAAGAAAAAGAAATGATATAATTACTTATAGCAAAACGTTTCACGCTCACTGCATATCCTATTAAAGTTATATTCATTGTGACATTAAGAAAAAAAAATTAAAATATCAAGGTATAATTTACACATAATAATACTTTTAGGGAACACAAAACAAAATCTAATATTCGAATTGTGACGCTAACCAAATTATAATATGTTTAATAACGAGGTACATGATTGATGCCAATTGGTTTCATTCAGTATTTGCAAACGATGTTAATTGATGCCATTTGTTTTCATCTTTGTTAACATGTTAATAAGTTTTTTAATTTATTATGAAATATTTTTTTATTGGTGGAGATTTTACAGGTAGCAGTAGTTATTTATATATTCATGAATAGATTAGTTTATGATTTAAATTTAAGTTAATAAGAATGTACTGTATTAATACTGTACAATTAATAAGTGATTATATATGGTAACCTATGTATAATTTATTACTTTAGGGTTTATTTTATTCCAGATAATTAATTTTTGAGTATATTATATACTAGTTTTATTTAATATGTTTTTATATTAAATATTATTATTTTAATAAAAATTAAAAATGAAGTGATTTAAACTTGTTAATATCCTTACAATGCATTACATTATACCACTTTGGATATTAAATAAAGGTAAGTATAAAAAAGACACAGAACATTAATTTATCAATGTATGGTATGTATTTTGCATAAACATTGTGAATTTATATTTCATGTTTCTGTGTCCAATTAAAAATAATAAATTTTTAAATATTTTATGCTTAAAATAATGTAAATTTAAATTTTGTTTTTAAAAATTCTCTTTTGAGACATTTGACAAAGTTAATTTGAGAATTAAAATAATATTTAATCATATACATTAGAACTTAAAAAAAATCATTTCTTAAAGTTGTATAAGTATTAATTATTAAGTGTAAATAAATAAACAAACATAATATATATTTACTTGTCTTTTTTAATAAAATAAATAATATAATTGAGTAGAGTTTTATAAATTTATCATTATACATTGTAATGCAAATTTATAAATTAAATCAAGTCTTAGGTATCATATACAATAAATATTACTTATTAATGTCATACCTATAGAGGGAGGGTTGAAGATTTTATCCTCTCATTTTAAAATTAGTTCTGAGTACAGCCTTATTAGTTTTATAGTCTTAATACTATTTTTATTAGGTATTACTATTTACATTTATAAACAATGCATGTCTATGGACATTACTTACTAATTTAATTTTAATTATATATATAAGGTAATAAAGTCTAAAATGCCCTAATTATCTTGATTATTTTTATGATTTAATTTTATTTGAAGTATTTATTCAATTTTGGAAAACAATATAAAATATTTTTTTCCATCATAGTAAATGATTTTACTTCTTTTTTAAGTGATAACCTATAATTTTAATTTCATGTCTTTCAAAAAATTCATTTTTAAAAATGTTGATATTCAAACATTGAATTTATAATAATTTGGTATTATTTATATGAATGAAAATAAAGTATTTTTGTTCAATATTTATATTTTAAAATATTTAGGAAAATATCTAATTCTTGAATATTAATTTAAGATAATAGATTATCTCTTAAAAACAGTAAAAATTAATCAAAAATTGATTTATTATAGTTATAAATTCTTCAAACTACAAACAATTATTTTATATTAAAATCAGAATATTAATATTTAAATTAATCTGACTCATCGATCTTTATATATATATAATAAGAAACTTATCCATAGGAACTGATTAAATGATAAATTATAGTTAATTTATTTTTTATTAAATTATAAACAGTAAAATATATTGTTATTTTTCAGTTCTCTAAAATCAGCCACATAAGAAACATTCTTCCATTGAAGTGACTAGAAGAGCATGCGTTCTGATAAAATTTGATCTTGAGTGCAGTGATTAAATTACATAAATTATTTATTTTTTTTGTTTTTTATCGAGTGTTTATTTTACGACATTGCTATTTCAATGCATTATCAAAATTTTAATGATTTTGATATTGAGTCAAGTTTTCAAGAAGATGAGAATCTTGTCATTGATATTGATAAACCTTTTATTCCTGCCAAACCTCCAAAAGCAGCATCTCCGCCACCAGTGCGTTCAGCATTTAAGGTAATGAATGTTTGTTTATTTAAATTAGTTGCGTGTATATTTTCTACATAAAATATTGATATATTTAGTTTAATATTTTATTACATTACATTTTTCTATTTTACTATTATTATTTCAGAATTGTTACTTTTATAAATGTAAAAATATTATAATAATATTTCATTTTAAATGTAATTTATGTACTCACTTTTTCACATACTTGCTATGTTAAATCATTGAAAAAGTATTTTTCAGTAATAATTGGATAAAATTAATTTAGTTATTAATTAATTTAAATTCTTATTTTGAATTATCAAACAAGTTTTTGAATTCTGTTTTTTTAATTTATTAGCCTGGAATAATTACTTAAAATTGATTTTTCCAATAAATTTAATTTAATAGACTTACTATTTATAATTGTTAGTGTGAATAATATGATAAATAACCATTGTACTAATTATTGGTTGCTTAAAACAATATATCAAAAATTATACATGATAAATGATAATACATTTAGTTTGATTGTGTGTATAATGTTTTGTCTGTACCTATTTGTTTTACTAAAGAATGTTATTGTTTTTAATAATGTGTTTAATATATATACATATTTTTTTTATGGATTTGTACAATTTAAACTAAAAACTTAGTCTTTTATTATATTAGATTTATATTAAGAAAATTTACCTCACAATAACATTTTTTAAGGAATTTTTTAGTTATCTCATTTATGATCTGGATTAATATAAGAAAATGTTTTTAAGCTAAATTGTTAGTTCTATTATAAGTATTATATACTTACATTTTTAAACATAATATATAAGTTATAAATAATAGATGGAATTAAGTTCCTTAAAATATCCAAGCCATGTTGAAATTGATAGTAAAAGTATCTATATTACTTACATTATTGGACTTCTGCTCAAACTGAAGAAATTGTTATGAAATAAGGGAATATCTTCTATATATTTTGACAACAGTGAAAAAAGTGTTTTTACATTGAAACATGCAATTAAAACATAAAATTTACAAATTCTCAAGATTCAAGAATAATTGCTATTGATTTTTTTTAATTATTACAATATTTTTTTTTTGTAACTAAATTGTTTTGTTATTAAAAATGCCCGTTATATTTAATTTTTTAGTGAAATGTATTTATTCTAAAGCAAAAGTATAATTATTGTATGATTTAACATGAACAGTATTCTGCTTATTTTTTCTTAAATAAGTATAATTTAATATATATTTTTTTTATCAAATAACTCAGCTTCTTTAATTCAAAATACAAATTATTATTCATGTTACATTGATAGAGTTATTAATAATTCAATATTGTGTTTTATTTTTGGTGAATAGGAATGTTCATTTATTATTAAAGATTTATTTTTGAAATATAATAAATCTTGTAATTTTTTCCAATAATCCAAAATAATTCTTAAAATCCTTTTATAATTTTTGTTCTATTTCTATTTGTATAATCTTCTGTATATATTTTTGTTTTAGAGTTTTATATTCCCATCTTATTTATTTTTACCCATGATTATATTTTTTAGTTAAATTCTAACAGCATTAATGTAAGAATTATAGATCTTACCAGTTACCACTGATAAAATAATTAGGAAAACTATTTATCATATAATTTATGTATATACTATTATACTGCTGTAATATTCTTTCTGAAGACAAAATGTTTGAGATTGATTTAAATGTGAATATTTTTTTATTTAGATTTATTTAAATCAGTCAAATCTTACTGTGTTAATGGAGTATGCACAGTGATTTTTTTTAACTGCAGTCACAATATGATAATGTTGCACATTAAATTGTTATGTTTGTCTACATATTGATGTTTGTAATATTTAGATCTAAATGTTTCTAAATAAATTGAAATTTTATTCTTTCATTATTAAAACAAAATTAATTCAATATACTATATTGATATAAATTTTCTACCTAACTTGGTACTATCTATAATCTTAGTATAGCATTACAAAAAAAATTTAATTTTCCATATTCCTATTGAATAGGCATTTTTGTCTTCATTGATCAAACCATACAGGTAATTCTAATTTAATCCTCTCCAGTCCTATAATACATTTAGTAGGGTAATTATTTTTTATAATTTTATATGTGATTTTATTATAAGTTTAATTTTGCCTGATCTTATCCTCTTCTGTGTTCCCCTTCTTGTATATAACTTATTTAAGTTACATTTAAATTGTACTTTTTATTTAATGCATTATTCAACATAAAAATAAGATATACATACCTATACATGTTATATCATGTAGATATGACCATTTTATATTAAAACTGCATATGAATGTGTCAGACCACTGCGATATATTCTATATATTATTATTATATTTTTGTATACATATTGTACTTGACCTAGTTATTATTTAGAAAAATAAATAGTACATGATTTTATTGTATTAATACGTGAGAAAACATTTTAGTGTCTGTTGCTAACATTTTTGATGGATTTCAAAATAAAATGTTTGAATCGTCAGTTAATTTATTAACTTTTAAGTTACTAGTTATATAGATAAACAATTTTAAATTGTTTTACCTATTGTATTTATGCTTAATGTTTATTTATAATTATTGAACTATAATTGTATAATATAGAAAGCTATAAAAAAAATATACAATTATTATATTAACATTAATAATTGTTATTTCGGTATAAATTTAATTAAGGTACTTTGCAATGTGGGGAATTTTGGTTTGACCACTGATAAGAATGGTTTAAACAAATTAATAAAATTGAGCAATAGTTACATTTATTCAGTTAATTTCTATTAAAATTTAAATAAATATAATTTAAAATCTTAAATTTTTTAGGCACCCACAGGTCTTTCTCGAGAAGAACAGTTGTTATCCACAGTTGTTCATTTAGATAACGGTACAACTGGCTATTTAATAACTTTAAATAAAACAACAGGATCATGGTCATGTCATGCTTGTTATCCATTCAAAGTTCCATCTTTGTCATTGCTCGAAGAGCATTTAACCAACAAAATGCATTTATTAGAAATGGGAAAGTCTTGTTTTCCGGCAAAAAACTTTATAAGAGCATGTTCAGAAAGTAAATATGGTTTTTTTGTACTAACGAAAGCATTCTTTGTACTGTATTTAAAATATTTATGGTGGTATTAAAATAGCTGGAATAAGTGTTGGTATGCCATCAATGGTATCGGGTGAACCAATACCACCAGGAATGGAAGATGAAGTAGATAATGTGTTGGCCCGTATTCAAGCTACATTGGATTCAATTTTTATACCTTTAATAGGTATAGAATTTATTCTAGAATTATTGCCATCTGAACCAACCGAAGAACCTAGGTATATGTGTGCATTGTGTGATAAACGAGGTGATCCGAGAACTTTTCCTAATCATTTGCGAAGCTTTAATCATCACATGGCATACTTGGTAAGTACTATTTTTATAAATTTTCAATATTCATTGTAAAGTTAAAATTTTTTATTTTAAACTCTAGCGAAGATATTTTAGAACATTAGCCAGTGCTTTGGAAAAATTAAACAAAGTGTCTTCTAAAGGATTTCAAGAACTAGTATTTCATGTTATTGGAAAAATAGAAGAAACATATGGCCGTATGAAACCAATAGTGGTTGATGCGAGTCTATTTGATGTATCTACTGAAAAAATAAAAATCTTAAGACAAGTAAATAATGGAAAACATATCATGTAAGTAAATTGTATGTAATTTAGATAAATATTAGATATGTTGAACTGTTTTAAGTATATTATATAAATAAGTTTTAGTAATAAATCCATTTAAAAATGTATATAAAAATATTATACCTATCTGTAATATGTTTTACCCTTTTTAAAAACTGTTTGGTTGTGTTACAAGTATAAAATGTGCAATACCAAAATAACATTTTTAAATATATTATAATTATTTTTTTTCTAACTTCTATGCTGTTTATCGATGTAATATTGCTTATCAGAACTCACAAATTTTGATTTCTAATCATTACATTATTTTGGATGTATTTTGTCATCATGACATCTGTCTGCCATAAGCTATATATATAATGTACTCATTTTTAGATAGTATTAGTGTGTTTTCACTTTTTATTATATACTAATCTATTGTCTTTAATATTATAATACATCTACTTTTTTATCATGATAAATCTTATCCTTTAATTATTCTTGTGTACATTTCTACTAACAAGAGCACAGTATTTTTCATGTTTTGTATATTTGTGATTTAATCATGTCCTATAGAAATAACTCCATACCTGTAATCAATAGTTATAGCTGTTATAGGCACTATTTAAAAGTATTACTCAGTCAAAAGCTTTGATTTATGTCGTGATTTGTATACAAATAAGTTGGAAAAAAAACATTATTTTTTTGTCAGTTTTGTTTACATACTTGAAGACAATCATTAATTTCTTACTAATAAAATTTTAAGATTAAAATTTATCTGGATAACACAAGAAAAAACAACTGCAAACTACACATTTAAAAAAAAACACGTCTTACAAACTTGAGAAAAATAAAAAAAAAATATTGAATATTTTTAGTACATTATGTTTATTATCTTTGATACAGGGAAAGTCCAGAAGACCTATGGATGTTAGATATGATAAAATCAGAATTTGTTGAAAATCCTTCTCTTTTACAAGAAAAATGTAAGTCATATTTTATTTTTAACTATTTCAATGTCATTACTTGGTTATTAAGCATAATTTTATTATTTTCTTTTCAAATGTTTAATGTTGCCAAATTTGAATTATTTATTTTAAGTTCCTTTAAAAAAAATAACTGAGAAAAATAAACGTGATGAAGAAGAAAAACAAAAAGCTATTAAAGCTGAAACGTAAGTAAAATTGAAATAAATGATTTTTACATTTTTCAATTATATCCTTAATTCATTAATATTCCAAAAATGAATATATTTTAGGTCATTTAATAAAAATCCAAGAATTGCTGTTAACAAATCCCAATTGCGTTCAAAGAATGATAAAGAAGAAAGTGATTCTGATGTAGAATTTGTTGACATTAAAACAAATACTGAATCTAAACCAAGAAAGCGTGTATCAAGTAAATTTGTCAATTATTATAAAATAATTATAATAAAATATTTTATGGTAAAATAAATTACTGTTTATTTTCAGGTAGAGAATCTAGAGATAGAAGACGTAGATCACCACCTAGAAGACATCATCGTTCTAGAAGTCCATATCGTCATAAATCACGTACTCGTTCAAAAACCCCTGTAACGAGACAAAGATCTCGTTCACGTTCTCGATCAAGATCTCGTTCGCCTTATTACAATCGTAATAATAAATATTCTAGTCATCGGTAATATAATAATACAAAAAAAAAAAGAAGCTTTTGTTAGTCTATATTTATTTATTTATTATACCAGAAGGCGTTATAGAAGCAGAGAAAGAGATGAATCATATAGAAGACGACTTTCCCCTACAACTAACGTGCATTCTATGCATTCTATGTCGGGTTATGTCTCAGGACATCCACATCCTAGAATGTTTTATGCTGCACCTTATATGTCTTTCCCTAGGCCATTTATGAGATATCCTCCACCTAGTAGACCTAGGTTCTACTCTCCAGATATATATTCAGCTGAATATCATACACAAAAAGAAAGGTATATTATATTATTGATAAAAATATTAATTATATTTATAGTAAGTTTCATTATTATTCATTTGAATTATGTTTAAAATAAATTTATATAATATAAATATAAATATATATATTTATAATAAGTTTTGATTTTCAGGAATACTAGTAAAAGAAAAAGATTAATACAAGAATACGAAAAAGCTGTAGAAGAAATGAAAATTGAAATGGAGAAAAAGTTAAGTTATCATGAAAAAAATCCTGAAAAACATCCATTATATCCAGATGAATGGAAAAAGTTCTGGAATCGACGTTTTAAAGAATTGCAAATGGAAGGTAAAGATCCAAATACTTATGATTTTAAACCTGAGTGGATTCTTTCATGGAGTAAACGCACACAGGAAATGCATGATGAAGAAGTTAATGAAAAAATGGAAAAACTAAAAGCTAAAATACTGGGTGATATAAACATGGATAAAAGTTCTTCGGAATCACCTTCAAGAGATTCTCCTCCTTTAAAAGACAAAAAGTCGTCAATAGATTTAAAACATAGTTGGCATAATATTCCAGTATCTGAAGTATTAGAAAGAGACTCTGATATTGTAGCCAACAAACCGACTAATGATAAAAAACCTAGAGTTGCTGGAGCATCTCCTATTAATTCAGATTCAGAAGATTCAATAAATGAAATCAATGATCATAATAAACCTAGAGAAAAAATTAAAATTGAAAATCCTTTAAATGTTATTACTGTATTGAGACAATTGAGCGTTTTGGAAAGTCAATTAGGTCTATTAGCACCTAAAATAGTTGATTTGTTGTCTAAAGGTCTTGTAATGGAAAAAATTGAACCTAAATCATCAATTAAATTATTGACTCCAGACAATTGTGTGATGTTTGAAACAGTAAAAGAAAAACTCAAAGGACAACTTTTAGCAGGAGTTGTCAAAAGGAGTTTAGTAAATGCTACAATGTTCTCTATTCGCAACATTGAAAAATTGATGCAGTTAGCACCCAAGTTTATACCTACATCGAGCATGTTAAATTCTACACCTACTTCCATACCTTTATCCACTTCTGTACTTACACCTGTATCTAAAACTGCTCCAATTATAGTGCCTGGGGTTGGTGTTATTGATAAAATGGCTATTGCTCAGCAAATAACTCAAGCATTACTAGCTCAAGGTAAAGTGGATGTGTCACAAAACGATTTAGAAACTCTCATAAATGCTGTTGTAGGTATGGCACAATCTGGAGATAATATTCAAGGAGCTAAAAACTTATTAGCAAACATAAATAATGGCGGAGATGTGTTGAAAACTGCTTATGAAGAAGTTAATAAAAAAGAAGAAGTCGAAAAGATGAATTTAGACCAATTATCTCAGGGTGACATAATTAACTTATTGAAAAATTTCAGAGATTTGAATACTGATGAACAAGATGGACTAATAACTTATTTGAAAAAGTTAGGAGAAAAAAAACCAGAAGAAGTGAAAAAATTGAGAAGGTACATTGATATGGGACCATCTAAATTAAAAGAAGTTACTTCTATTTTTAAAGATGATAACGATGATGATGATGATGATAATTATGAACTATCAGAAGTTTGTAAGGCTGTCAAGGAAAAAGTTAGTGAACAGAAAGACGAAAACGTGAAAAACATGACTGTTAATTTTGAAATCACTGAAGAGCAACAAAAACTTTTAAGTAGCTTAAAAAACTTTTTACCAGGTATAAAATCTGATTATGGTTTGGGATTTACCGACACTCAATTGAAAACTACTCCTAACCAATCATTTTACAAAAATTCTAATAATGAACCTCATACCAATTTATATTCCTTAGATCCATATTCATCAAAAAAAAATGACACTAATTATTCTCCACAACCATCAACATCCACTACATTTTTAGTTGACCAATCTGATAAATACAATATTCCTCAAGAGAAGCCTAATCAATTCAATAAACCACAAGAACAGCCTAATAAATACAGTCAACCACAAGATCAGCTTAAAAAATACAATAAAAAGCAAGAGCAACTCAATAAATACAATATACCTGAAGAACAACCTAATACATACAATATATCACAAGAGCCATCCAATAAATACAATTTATCTCAAGATCCGACTAACAAATATTTGTCTCAAGAACTGGAAAATAATTATAATATACCTCTAGAGGAACTTAATGAATATCATACTTCTGAAGATCAATCTAATGAATATAATATATCTCCAGAGAAACCTGATCCGTATTCAGCTAACCAAGTGGATAATTACAATGATCCTTACTCACAAAATCGTACTAATAATTATTATCAAGGGCAGCAACAGGATTCTTTTAATAAATATCATCAAAATTCTTCAAATTATTATAAAGGTAAAAATACATATAAAACTAATAATACTTATTCTGACACATACCAAGGAACGTCTAGAGAAAATAATAGGAATCATCGATTTAATCGCGGTCAAAATAAACGATATCAAAGTAGACGGTAAATTGAATATAATTTGATTTTATATTATTTAATTAAATTGATAGTTTTATAGTCCTATTAAGGTTTTATATATTTACTAAAAATGAAATCACATTTTATGTCTTAAGTATTTAAATATTTTATTATATAAAAATCAATGATTTTTCTTAGTAATTTAATTTTTATTTTAATGAAATGTTTCATTATTGAATTTATATATATATATATATATATACATATAAATATATATATATATATTTATAACTAGACTCAAAACTGAAAACCCAACGTAAGAAATGTTAAGTGTAACACTTTTTTCCTAGTGTTTTATATGATATTTAGACATAATATATTAAAATAAAAAATTGCATGATAAATATGATAGTATTTTTTAAGTATTAATACAACTTGATAAAATTATTATGTTATACTATATGTATTATACTTTTTAAGTATACCTGTAACCGCATATTTTGATTATTTTACATTTTTACCTATAACTGATAAGCTATTGTATTACTGTTTATAAATATTTTAATTGAATACATATGATTACTAATTTGATTATTTTATTGTTGATAATGTTGTGTATATCTAATATTATTATGCATAATAATACATCAATTTATGTTTCTACTAGGCAGTTAGTAGTCAATAAATTTATTTTTAATTTTTATAGGTTTTAGGTTTTTGTAGGCATATTGTTGATTTATATATGCTAAGTACCAACTATTACAGTAAAATAAATTTTAATGGTTTTGATAAAAATGTTACAGTGTGCAAAGAACACCACTTCCAAGTGTGCAAAGAATGCTATATTACGATTTATGTATATTAAATGTGAAATGTAAAACATAGTCTCTTTTTAGTGCCATCAAGATGAAACACGTAGGTCATACTTGTTAAAATAATGAAGTATTTTAAATAAATAAATATTCAAGTAGGTACTGATAATATTTCTGAAAAATATTTTAATACAAATTATGAAATAACCGTCTGATGAAATTTAACTTGCTCCATGAGTAAGAAACAATAAATAACTGATAAGATGTGTAACATTGTATAATGAGGCAGATTTAATAATCATAAAAACAACTTGCAGCTATTCTTCAGTGCTATGTTCAATACTGCTTATAAACTTGTATTATATTTAAATATACAAAGCTGAACGCAAATTAATGGAAATATTTAACAAACAATAAAATTGGTTCTTAAGTCATAATGTTCAAAATTAATATAGAAAACTGATTATCTCAACTCACTTTATAAACAATGTATCTAATTTTTTAATTTAAAAAAAAAATGGATCACATAAAGAATATTTTGTACCTTGCTATATTTAGATTATATTATTTCATAAAAATAAATTTAACAGGAATTATAATATTGTTAGTTATTAGCAGGGCTAAGATTTATATGCAATAAAAAATTGTAAAGTGTGCATTTGGTTTATTAAAAATATGCAATTAATATTATACACCAAAAAAATGAGAAATATACACTTAAAAAAATTATACGTTTTAAAATTAATTAAATAATATTCTTAACTATTCACGCTATTCAAATGTATTATACAAAACAATTACATGGTGTTTTAAATTTTTAAAACTGGACGGTCTTCTGTTAGACCTTAATATAAATACACCTTCAATAGGTATTTTTGAACAGCGTCAATACACACTGTCGTATGATAAAAACGTCTAGTCACAAAATATACCATAAAATATGCATTTCGTCAAAAATATGCAAAATAAAATCACCATTGTTAATTTTATCATGAGGTGATTCGTGGACATTAGGTAATAGGTACTTACAAAAACAATACCTAATCAGAAATCGCAAAAATAATATAATGTTACATATATATCCTAGTCTTAGTTGTTAGTGATGATACTACTATTATAATATTAGATTATTTTTATTCAAAACCATGTATTTAGTAATTAATATATAATACTATTAAAACTAAAAATTTCAAAAACCATTTATAATTTTAACTTCTGGATTATTCTTGAATCAATTAAAAAATCAATCGATAAGCACAGTAAAAAAAAATCATCACGACCTTAAAAAATTGACAATTAACGAGAAGCAGTTTCATTTTAAAGAAATCTAGAAGTGAAAAATCATTGTCGGATCAACTAATTATTTATGTAGACATGTAGTTATTGTAGTTGTAATATTATTATCGTAAACTTGTAACCGTCCTTCAATGCTAGTGCATTTGATAAAAATAGATTAAAAAATTGGTAACTGACGAAAAAATAAGAACGTATCATATTATAGTCTTTGTAAAGATAGATACATAATAAATAATAATATTTGTCGTTTCTGTTGCAATGGCTACCTACAATGTGTCGAACCACTACATAAACACATTTAAGTATATATAATTAGTGTAGGTATTACGCTATGGTGGATTATGGATACGTGTTGTAATATATTAATCGACATTCATAGGTAACACCATTGATTATAGAATTCTATAATCAATGGTAACACTAATAGCTATACGTTTAGGCGTAAAAATTATAAAAACGCACGTGAAAAAGTATGGCTATTGGACTAATATATTATTCTATTGATTTTAAAGACCGAGAAAAAATATAAATTTAATAATTAAAAACAAATTATCCGTCAACAAAAAAGTGTACCTACATAAAATATCAATGGAAATAATATCACGTGCTCTATTATTAAGGGACACAAAGTTTTGAGTGTCATGCGCATTCGCTATATAGGTTTCTGTATAAATCTCTGTCGAATAATCTTTGTAATATTAATAAGTTTCTCTGTATATAGGAACATGGTTGTAAAATAACATATGTAGGTAAATATTACCAAGCGTGTACAGTGTACACTGTACAAATACGTCGATACAACCGATAATCGGAGTCTAGTGTCTACGTTTGGAACTCACTCCCTCGTAAGTATACATATTCCAATATGTCGGCATAGGTCAGGGGTCGGGAACCTTTTCGTAGAAAAGAGCCATTTTTTCAAAAAATTACAAAACTATGATATCCAGGGAGCCGCACAGGTTTAATCAACCTTTTTTTGGTAGGCAATAAAAACATAATAATGCGTCTTAAATTTAGAAAATATAGAAAAACTTTATTTTATTAATTCATTATTATTATTATTATTATTATTGTTTATACAAATAATATAATATTATTTAATGAAACACAATAAAACGCATCTGCATAATATTAGTGGGATTTTTGACACTGAATTATCTAAAGAGCTGCAGGTTGCATGTTAAAGAGCCGCAGGTTTCCGATCCCTGGCATAGGTAGATATCGCTAATATTTGTATACTTTTTAGACATATCGTGACTAGGTTGTAAATGGCTGTAAAGATTGAGCGCGTCTGATCGCTCGCAGTCCCATTATACACGAAATTCACCACTGAACAATTGAATAAAAAGTAATACCTGACTATTAAGTGCACAACTCCTCATTGCATCCCGCGGGCGTTCGCAGAACGCTGTTATATTGATGGACACTTTTAGGTACCCATACACCACTTCGCAAAAACGTAATATGGTTACAATTGTGATTTTTTGTGAAAGTGGAGGTAGGTATGATATTATTATGAATGTTACGAAAAAAAAAAAAAACTGTACATAATATAAACATTTCTCAATTAAAAAAAAAACCCTATTTGTTGTGTGATGTCTTAAATCGTCCACTGTATTTCGTTTGCGAGGGTACCTATATAGAAAAATTTGGGGATTAGATAACCGCTTTGGCTTCTGCCCTACTTATGTATAGGTATGAATAATGTTAGATGTTTATCGAACCCGTGTTTGATTTTATCGGCAGTAAGTAGCGTATAATTTACTGGGTGAGGGTGACAGATATTTCATATGGATGTCCCCCCTCCCGCGCGCCCTATGATGTTTGTTTATTAGTGGTACTCACCATATTAGTGTATTACCAATTACCAGTTACCGCTATTTTATACATGTATCATATATATGTATATTATCATAGATCACCAGTAACAATAAGTGTTCGGCCTTCGGCACACAACAGCAACGTCCACGTCGTTTGGGGGTTCACCAAAAGCTTCGTGTGATCTTCGTGGACACTGAAAACTGCAGTCAGAGTCGACGGAACTCGCCCAAGCAGCTTTACCCCAAATTTATATACAGTATAGAATCTCAATTATCCGTGTTTGCGATTAACCGTGCCCACTCTTCAGAAAATTTTTAAACATAATACTCGATATCGACAATCGTATTAATCACATTTTTGACGATAATAATATGAAGATAAGCAATATTGTACATCGATTATTATATTTATTATATTTCTAATTATAATCGAATCAAAATTTTTAAAATTTCATTATTATGAAATTGTACCTATGTATTTCTAATTATAATTAAATAAAAAATGTCATTATTATAAAAAGTCCTGATTAACCGTGATTTTCATTTATCCGTGTGACTCTCTCCCCATCATTACCCCGGATAATTGAGGTTCTACTGTACCATAATAACAAAGCAGCAGTTCTCAAACTAGGGTACGCGTACTCCTAAGGACATGATCTCGAGGGGTATATGAAAAAATTGGCTAATGACGGAAAATGTTGAATTTGTTTATTTAAAATAATTCGTTTTGAAACTATTCATTATATGTTATTAAAAATGAAAATTTGTGTTACAAATTAAAACTTAACCGTCGACTTATCTAATAAATATTATTACTATAGAGTTATGATTAAATTCAAATTTAATATAAAAATTCATTGAACAATAATTGATTGACAAAGATTACTATTAGTAATCTTTAATTTTTAAATAAGATTCTAATGCAAATAATTTAGTTCTTTAAAAATTTAATAGGGTATCCAAAAAAATTGGAGAAATTCTTTGATTTCTTTAAAGATAACTCGTATTTTGTAAATTGTATCATGTATAAATATTAAATACTCTTTATTTGATATATGTACTAAGTACATAAAATATAGAAAATATGGACTTATAAAAATTATTTTTTTATTTTTAGGATTTTGTAACGGTAATATTTTTAATTAGTTATTAGTAAATAATTTATAAAATATAAATTATTATTAAAAT